ATGTTCTTATATGCCTTATATGTCACATCTATATTTATTTATGTCATATATATGTGTACTTATATTCATATATATATATGTAATTATATGCCATACATATGTATTTATATGCCATGTATATGCATTTAATGTCACACATATATGTATTTATATGTGTGTGCCCAGAAAAAGGCATGGCAGCACTATTTGAATGAAGCCAAAGTGGTTTAGGTGCAGCTCTGAGGAGGTTTGCTGTTGCCTAAATGTGTTTAATTGTACAGGAAAACTGTCAGTTCAGCAGTTTTGCAGGCAAGTGTAGAAGTGGCTGTGTGCTGGGGACAGGGGGTGCCAGCACAGCCCCCCTGGCACTGGGTGGTCTCTGCTGGACCCCTCAGAGTGGCTCTGACACACTGTGGCCAACCCCTGCCGCATCCCATCCCATCCCATCCCATCCCATCCCATCCCATCCCATCCCATCCCACCCCATCCCATCCCATCCCATCCCATCCCACCCCATCCCATCCCAGCCCTGCTGGGGCAGCACCGTCCCCCCCAGCCCCTCGGGGTCCCCCAGCTGCAGGAATCCCCCCTCTCCCAGCACATTGCACACAGCACAATTCCCCCCAGCCCCTCTAATCCCTTTATGGTGTTTGTGCCTTGCTCCTCCTGCCCATGCTGCTCTTTGCCTTCCCTCTAATCTCCCCCCCGAGCTGTTTGGCAGGACAAAAGCCAGCCCGGGTTGGTGACACCTATCCCGGGGAGGGGAATGCTCTCTGCAGAGGCTCTGGGAGGTGATGCGGGGGTTCAACAACCAGGGAGGGACTCCCTCAGTTCTGAGCAGCGTCCTGAAGCCTGGAGGGTGATTTAGAGTAAAATCCAAACTCTCCATCCCAAAATCCCTGCTTTGTGCCCAGGGATCTTCTTGGACAAGTGTATGGAGGGATGTGACAGCCAAGGCCCAGCCCTCTGTGTCCAGCCCTCTGCTGCAGCACCAGGGGAAGGTGTAAAAAATCTCCCCAGGATGTAAATTAGTCCGTGCTTAACCCCTTTGTGGTAAAACATATCGTGTTACTGAAGATTTTCAATCTGATAAATGTCTTAATGATTTCTTACTATCCTATCAAAGCAAGAAATATCTCTGGTGCACTTTGGCAAGGCTGGAAAATGCTCGGGCTGATAAAGCTGTACGAGAAGGAAATGTAGGAAGTGACTCCCTTAAAGCATTAGGAGTGCTTTCTGCAGAAAATTGGAAAGCAGGATCTTTGCAAATTTGGTTTAAAACCTATATATATGCAGTAGGTCTGCAAAATGCTATCAGGAGAGAAGGATAGGGCTAAATCTAGTTTATTATAAGGCAAGGAGCAGAAAGGATTTTATGCACCCCTGAGGAAATGTTCTTTTCAGTTTGATAAATGCAGCGTAAGTATCTCTCAAAGAGAGATAAAAACTGGAAGAAGAATTTAGGGCTTGGCCAAGTCTCCCTAGGCTGGGTCTCCAGACTGATCCAAAAAAGACCCTGGGGAGGGGAGCAGCCCTGCTGCATCCCTGTGGGCACGGGGTGACATCCCAGGTGGCACCAGGGGTGATGCTTGGTCCGGGCTGGAGCAGCACGGCTGAATTTGCAGCTCCTCTCCCTGCTGTGCTCCATGTGGGGAAACCCCTCTGCTGCAGCTCTGGACGGGCTTCACAAAGTCCTCAGGAGGTTTAATCTGTGACCTTTTACTTCTCCAAGGACACTCCTGCTCCCTTTCCTGCCCTGGCTCCGACCTTGGGCCCGTGGCAGGTTCTGGGAGCTGCTGGTGGTTAATATTTACTGTACCTGGCGAGGAGGGGAGCAGGCAGCAGCCCGCTGATTGCAGAGCCGGAGCTTTTTGGGGGAAATGTTACTGCAGAGCCTCAGGAGCCAGGTGTGAGTGGTGCTGCTGTTGTTGGTGTAACAGGGTTGTCGCTATGGAAATGGCTGGAATTAGGCTTGGGGAGGTGAGGCTTGATCCCAGGAAAAACTGACCAAGCACGTGCCCAGCCTTACATGGCAGAAATGCTTTTTCCTGCTTGCCAAAATCCCTTTTGGTGTGAAATCATTGTGTGTGTTTGGTGAGCTGCCTCGGGGGTGGCACTTGGGGACCTGGTGCAGTGGTGGCCTTGGCAGTGCTGGGATAACAGCTGGGCTCACTGCCCTTTTCCAGCCTTAGGAATTCTGTGATTCCAGCCCTGTGCCCTCTCAGGCTGCTGCTGTCCCTGCTGTCCCCAAACACCACAAACGCACCGTGTTTGCCCTCCTGGGGCAGGGGGGCTCTGACCAGTGAGGGATTATTGGTGTTCGTTCTGCCTTCCCCTTTCAGGTGTTTTGGTGCTCAGTGATTCCAGCTGCTCACAGAGGAGCTTCCCAATCCAGGTTACTGGGTTAACTCAGCCTGGATTTTGTTCCATTTCTCCCTGGGTTTGAGCCCCCTCAAGCTCCGGGGTGTTTGTGCACAGGTGGGCACACCAGGAGGGAACCCAGAGGGATAAAATGAGCCTCTCCCCACCCAGCTGAGTCAGGAAGGTGCAGGGTCTCGGCAGAACCCTCCTATCACACTGAGCACACCCCTGCTGCTCCTGCTGCCTCTGCAGGATGCAGCTCCGCTCTCCTCGGTGGGGTTTGTGTCCTTCCCAAGGGATGCAGATCCATCTCTGAGCTCTCTGCTCAGCATCAGCCGCTGCTTCTCCAGCCCTGAGGCGGGTTCCGCGGGCGGGATGGAGATGATGGAGATGATGGAGATGATGGAGATGATGGAGGTGATGGAGATGGGGATGGGACAGGGAGCCGAGGACCCGGAGCCGCTGGCGCCTCCCCGGCTCGGTGCTGCTCGGTGTTGCAACGCCTCCGGGAAAGGGCTGCACAGCCAGGGGTGCATTTCCTCCCGCCCTGGGACGGTTTCCAAACAAGAATGAGGAAATGCTGAGCTCTGCAGCCACGTTCGTGGATGTGTCCCTAAAATACCCCGCAGAGGGAGGCGGCTGCTTTCGAGCTGCACCCCAGCTGCAGTCGCAGGAGAGCCTGAATGTCACCGGGGCGGCGACAAGGACACGGGGGAGACCTGCGTGGCTCCGGGACCTCGGGCACATGCCCGTGTGCCAATCCCGTGCCCAGGCTCTGCTCGGGCAGCACCCACGGGCCGTGGGCTGGGTGACGTCCGGCCCGCCCGCAGCCCGCTGCCACTGATGTCACCCAAATCGCTCATTGAGTTTTGCTTCTGCCGCTGCCAATCTCATTTCCTGGTTCTTGTGCAATCCCAAGGGCTTTCAGGTTTCTTCCCGATTCTTTATCTGCCTGCGGGACCAAAACACCTTCAGAAGAAAAACAGCGCTGATGTCTTGGGTCAGTGCCCGGGGAGGAGATGTCCTGTGGGGGGCCAGCCAGCCGTGAAGCAGGTTTTTTTTAGCCGCCTTGGTGTTTTGCAGAAAAAACATTCCTGGCGGTGAGTCAGGCAGCCACAAACATGAGGCTCTCTTAAGAACCGGGGGAATTAGCAAAAACCCAACTGCTTTGGAGCCCAGTCATGCCTTAAAGCCTGTTTTTCCTTTTGTAACATCGGGAAACTGCTTGAAACCCGAGGCTGGGGAGTCGAGGCGCGTTCACCCCGCCGGGTTTGCTTGGGGGGGTTGTTTGGAATCTTGCCTTCCTCCCAGAAAAAAATCCGGGAGTGTTTGAGATAACCCCGGAGGCGCCGGCACGGGCTGTGCCCATGTTGGCTGTGCCCTTTCTGGTTGTGCCCGTGCTGTTGTGCCCTGGCTGTGCCCTGGCACGTTTTGGGTCTGTCTGCCCCGACACGTGGGAGCCTCTCCCGCAGGATCCATGGAAAACCGGGAAGGCAGTGATGCGTTTAATTCACCTTAATTGGATCTGCGTTCGGCTCAATAGCTGGAAATTGCTGCTATATTGAAATAATCGACTCAAATTCACACCTGTTGGCTGAGGATTTTTAGCTGACTGTAAATCACGGCAGAGCCTGTGCTGAGCGTGGATGGTTTGGGGGTTTAAAGAGACTCTACCACGCTCTGGTGCTTTAAAATTGTGCTTTAACTCGGCGGTTTATAGATGGGAAGGGCTGAAGTAGGAGATTGCGGTGTTTTCCCAGCAGCTCTCAGCCCTTCCTCCCTTCCTTCCCAAGGAAAGCCTTGGGGGCAAACCCAGCCCTGCAGCCACGGGAGGGCTGAAGCCGGGTGGGAAGGGAGAAGGGGTCATTCCTGGGGTGGCCAGGGCAGGATCGGGGGAGAGAGGTAATGGTAGGGGGAATCTGGCTGTCCCTGTCCCGGGAATCTGGCTGTCCCTGTAACGGGAATCTGGCTGTCCCTGTCCCAGGGATCTTGTTGCCACAGCTGTCCCCAGGTCCACCCAGATCCATTCCATCACACATCCACATGGTCCCAGCCAGGTTTTGGGGTGCTGGGGGAGCACAACCCAGCAGCCTCCCCATTTCCTCCCCCGGCAGCAACTTAGCGGCGCTGGGAGAAAAACACCTGCACGCGTGTACGAGGGCAACCCTGCACAAACAAGGGGCCAAAACGGATGACACACGCAGAGAGGGGACCGGAGGTGGTGAATAAAATTTCCAATGAGTAACACCTGTTTCTTTAAATAAACAATAAGTTATTTAGCCAGTAACTCACAACTTTAAAGAAACAAAGCGATGTTTTAGCCGTGAAATAGCTGTCGTTTTTAATAAGAAAAGAAAAGAAAACGATACTAAACGTGGTCAGTGGGTGTCCCGGAGGTGGGGGCCGGGGCCTGGCGCTGCCGCCCCGGGGCGGAGCCGCCTCCGCACCGCCCCCGGGCCGCGGGCGCCTTTAAAGCGCGGGCGGAGCGGGTGCGGACAGCGCTGGGCCCGGTGAGCGCGAGGTCGCGGGTTCGAATCCCGCCGGGGGAGGCAGAGGGGGGAGCCGGGGTGGCTCGCTATGGGCTGGGAGGTTGGTTTGTAACACACCCCTGGGGATGATGGGCCGGGGGTGATGTGGCACTCACCTGTGCGCCCCCGCAGGGCCGTCGCCATGTCGGTGTCGCACAGCTCCAGGCTGAACAAGCTGGTGCGGGAGCAGTACATGAGGCTGCCCCAGGATGGGAGGGTGCAGGTCACCTACGTCTGGATCGACGGCAGCGGCGAGGGAGTGCGCTGCAAGAGCAGGACCCTCGATAAGGAGCCCAAGAGCATCGAAGGTAACGCGGCTGCTCGTCCCTCGGGTGATGGGTGGTGTGTTAAGGGCCCTGAGCATCACCTGGGAAAAGTTCTGGAGTGCTTCGGGCGGTGGGAGCCGCGACGGGCTCTCCCTGGTTGTGTTACACCAGTGATACCTGTTGCAGCTGTCTGGTGGGTGAGTATCCAATCTGCGTCCCTGCGGTTTGCTTAACCCGCTAATCTCTGCTATTAGTGCTGGGTGGGAAGGGGAGGATGAGCTCCTCGCCCCTTTCCTCCAGGCAAACAGGCATGGAGACGTGTCGGCATCTGGATGGGGTTTGGCAGAGGGAGGTGGAGTGGCTGGGACTGATCCTGCTCGTGCCTGATGGTGCTGGGGTGGCGTGAGCACGCTGATGCTCAGGGAGCACCGATGGGATGTGCAAGAAAACCTTTGTGGCTGACATCCCATGGGACTCGGCACTCCTTGGGCGCTCCATCCTGCATCCGAGCCACCAGCACTCGGCACAATCCGAATGAGGGCCTTTTCCCGAGCTCACTCCCACCTCCTGCCCCGCAGATGTCCCCGAGTGGAATTTCGATGGCTCCAGCACGGCGCAGGCAGAGGGCTCCAACAGTGACATGTTCCTGGTGCCCGTCTGCATGTTCAGGGACCCTTTTTGCCTGGACCCCAACAAGCTGGTGCTCTGCGAAGTGCTGAAGTACAACAGGAAACCCGCAGGTGAGCACCCCGCGCTCCCGAGGGTCACCCCCTTATTATTTAGGGTGTCACCTCCCAGGGCTCCTGCTCGGGACCGCCGGCCCTGGGGCGCAGCTGAGCAACGAGCACTTGGCCTGAGGCTCCGAAATCCAAGCGCTGGTGGCGGTGGATGCTTGCAGGAACCTGTTTTAGTGGCACGGGGCGAGGAGAGCAGCAGCGAGACGTGGAGTTCATTAAAGGCGTCTCCCGGCTCTTGGGCCCGAGCTCGCCCAGCCCGGGGGGAGCGGGAGCTGCAAGTGCGGGGTTCTGCCGTGCCCGGGTTGTGGTGGCTCTTCTGGCTGGTGGGAGGCTGCAGAAAAGGAAGGAGAAGATGCTGAGACGGCGTGTGCTGCTCGCTCGGAGTGACCTTTAGCAAACAGAACGGGCGGCTCTCGCTCTTATCGCCGAGCTGCGCTCGCAGGAGCCTGCAGTCCGTCTTGCCCCTGTGATAAAGCCCCAGACACAGGAAAAGGAGCCTGTTTGCAGGGACGCGCCGAGGGGCTCCCGGAGGGGTTATTTGCCGGCAAACAACCGGATATTTGCCGCTGGAGCAGGGCTGAGCCCGCTGGGTGTGCGGGGGAGGGAGAGGGCATCTGCGGGTGATGCAGCTCTGCCCGGAGAGCGGCGGGCAGCGATGGTGAAAGACGGGGCTGATTCCTCTGTGGGCTGATTCCTCCTCCAGCAGCCTCCAGACAGGGTGGGGGAAGTGTCTTGGTTGAGATTCCTGCCCGGCAGCTCCTGCGCTGCAGGAGTTTGTAAAGAGAGCTCCTGATCCTGGGGTTCCTGGGACACACAGAGCTCAGCCCGCAGCGCTGATGGTGAGAGGGCTGCACCCTCCAGCCCTCCCCGCGATGGTTTCCATGGACCTTAAGGGCTCTGCGGGCTCAGGATAAGAAATTCTCTTAGCTTTGCTCCCCCTCTTCTACTGCTTCCCTCCAGCCCCAGGCTCTGTTGTAGCTGCTCTGGGTTTTTATTGCAAGTTAGGGCAGAATGTGCAGCCTGGAGCCTGCCTGTCCCTGCCACAGCAGTTTTTCAGCCTTTCTGGCTGATGTCTTGGTCCAAGCTCTCATTCCCCTTGCCTGGTTCGTTCATGTCTGGACAGTTCTCTGCTATCTGTGTTTTCCTGGCAAAGCCCCAGTTGCCTTGAGCACCTCGAAAGGCCGAGTCAGGGCCAGCCAGTCTGGATGCTGACCAAAACCATGGAGCTGCAGGAAGATAAGGATAATTAAGAAGAGGATGGGGGTGAAGGAGTGATGGAAGTTCCCAGGTCTGTTGAATGCCTGCAGGATGGGGCTGGGGTAATGCTCCTCATCTCTCAGTGAGTAAGAGGAGGAGGATGGACCATCAGCAGTGGTTTGGGGAACAGGGTAATTAAAGCCTCTTGGCCTGTGGCCTGATGCTCTGGTGATGGGGTAACTGTGAGGAGGAATTTGGTGAGCAGGAAGGGGGATTCATCATGATTTCCTTAAGGCTTCTGTGGGAAGCCCTTGGCAGTGGTGGAGCCTCAGGGTGGGGTGGAGCAGAGAGTGGTGGGTGCTGCCTCACAGCACGGCTCTAACCTGGACATCTCTGCCCCCAGAGACCAACCTGAGGCACACGTGCAAGAAAGTGATGGACCTGGTGAAGGACAGCCACCCCTGGTTCGGGATGGAGCAGGAGTACACCCTGCTGGGTATCAACGGGCACCCCTACGGCTGGCCCGACAACGGCTTCCCCGGCCCGCAGGGTAAGAGCCAAAACTCCAGCCCAAAATCCAGCCCAAAATCCCCCTCAGCCCCCACCCTGCTGCTGTGGGGTGCAGGAGGGGGCAGTGAGCCCATCCCCAGCCCCGTGCAGCCCTGCTGTCAGGGGTGACCCCGGTAGGGGCTGTTTGCCCAGAGCACCTGGTGCCCGTGGCTCACATGAGCCGCTCCCGCCGGGCCCTGCTTGCACAAACAGCTCGGCTGCACGACTTGTTTGGCAAGGGCTGGAGAACCGGGCTGGAAAAGCCTCCTCCCCTTGGCTGTTGAGGAAAGGGCTTGGCATGGTGCGTTGTGCCCTCCTGCAGCAGCGAGCCGGCTCCTCTGCTGCCTCCTGGGACGGAGCCAGAGGTTTCCCAAGCTGATTTTCGTGTGGAGCGGCCGCTTGCAACATCTCCCTTCCCCCAGGCGGGAGAAGATCTTTGCCTTACCTGCCTGAATGAGGAAGATATCAAAGCCCAAGCGAATTGGATTTTCTAGCTGTGAACAATGCCAGCTGTTGTCAGAACAATCTCGGAAGCTTGATGTGCTCAGAGGGTGAGGGAGGTGCCCCGGGGCAGACCAAACTTTGCTTATCTCGAGGCCACCTCCCAGCTGATGTGTTACAAGTATTATTGAACTGCCCAGATAAGGCTGAGGTTGCACAGATGAGCTGCTCACACTGCTAATCCTGGAGCTGGGGTCGGTGGCTTAATGTGCTGTGGAGAGAAACATCATTTTAATTCCCATAAATCCCCTGCCCATAGCAGCAGGTACCTAGGAGAGTGGGATTATGTTACAGTGCCGTTGTTGTTCCTTGATGTTTTCCTTGGGTGGTGACTCCTTATTCTTTCAGGCCCCTATTACTGCGGGGTTGGAGCTGATAAGGTGTATGGGCGTGATATCGTGGAGTCCCACTACAAGGCCTGTCTCTATGCGGGGGTGAAGATCTGTGGCACCAATGCCGAGGTGATGCCCTCCCAGGTAGGTGTGCATGGCCCCAGGCAGCCCATTCCCAGGGATGGATCAGATATTGTGGGGCTGGAACGACCCAGCAACTCCCAACTCCTCTGGAACTCTGAATCCAGTGACTCCTCACACTGGTTTTGCTTAGGGGGGAGCAGTTGCACTGCTGGAATGGAAATGTGCATTTGATTTTCTCCTAACTCACCCCAGCTCCTTGCACAGCTCAGCCTGAGCTCTGGCTGCTGGAGCAGAGCTGGGAGCTCCCCATGGCAGCAGGGATGTGGGGATGGAGCTGGGATGGGCTGCAGGAGCACTGTGTGGAGTGATGGGGTCTGAGCCCTGTTCTGGAACTGGGAAGCTGGGGTGGGACATGGCCTTGGGCAGCAGTTGGGAGGATTTGGGTTTATCCAGGAGTGAGCAGCAGGGAGCCCCTGATTGCATTAGGCAGGTGGCCAGACTGACTGGGACCTGCAGCCCTGACTGTCCTGCTGCTGATGTGGCAGTGATAAGCAGGGGCTTATCAGCAGTGGAGCCAAGGCAGGACTTTTACCCACCCCACTGTTTGCCCCAAATTCTTCAGGGTCCTCCTTGGCTCCTTCCACATCCTGGGCTCGGGCTCTGCCATGCCAGCAGCCACAAAGACGTCACCCTGTGCTTAGTAACCGTGGGTGGTGCAACCCTGGCTCCAGCCAGGCAGGGAGCAGCCCTGGGAAGGTCTAACAGGCTCCTCATTAATCCCCTGTCCTGTTTGCAGTGTGGGCTGGGGTCCTGCTCCCAGCAGCTCCAGCCTCAGATGTGTTTATCTACCTCTGTTTTGATTTAAAACCCTTCTGATTTGCTCTACATAGCAATGAGCAGTTTCTTCCCATTTTTTTGCATGTCAAAGTTGTTTTGTTGCTTGCCTCAATGCTCTCCATTATTGTTGCTGATTGTTTGGATAGCAGTCCAGGCTGAGCGTGGCAGGGATGTTGTGGCTGGGGAGGCCCCCACCTGCCCATCCTCACCTGTGCATCTGCTCCCCCTTGCAGTGGGAGTTCCAGGTGGGCCCGTGTGAAGGCATTGAGATGGGGGATCACCTGTGGATGGCTCGGTTCATCCTGCACCGTGTCTGCGAGGACTTTGGGGTTGTGGCCACTCTGGACCCCAAACCCATGACCGGCAACTGGAACGGTGCCGGGTGTCACACCAACTACAGCACCGAGGAGATGCGCAGAGAGGGGGGTCTCAAGTGAGTCCTGGGGGGTCTCGAGGGGAGTCTCAGGACTCAAAGGAGTCCTTGGGGGCTCCCTGGGATGTACCTGGGTGTGACCGTGTTCACAGGGGTCTGAAGTTGAGGGAAGAGATGAGGATCTGACTCTATGTTACAGAAGGCTGATTTATTATTTTATGATGTATATTATATTAAAACTATACTAAGAGAATAGAAGAAACGATTTCATCAGAAGGCTGGCTAGGAATAGACAAAGAATGATAACAAAGGCTTGTGGCTCGGACAGAGAGTCTGAGCCAGCTGACTGTGATTGGCCATTAATTAGAAACAACCACATGAGACCAATCCCAGATGCACCTGTTGCATTCCACAGCAGCAGATAATCAATGTTTACATTTTGTTCCTGAGGTCTCTCAGCTTCTCAGGAGGAAAAATCCTAAGGAAAGGATTTTTCACAAAAGATGTGTGTGACGCCTGGGAGCTTGGGGGTGTCCTGGGCCATAAGGAAGCAAATGGGCCATATGGAACCTGTGTGGCTGCGTCAGGCAGGGTTGGGGTTATCCCAGCTCGTTATTTTAAGAGCAGCTGATTACATGAGGAATCCCCTGGGCTGTCCTGGTCCCTGCACAGGAGGAGGGGGTGAATGGACCTGCTGAACCCCCCGTGCTCTCCCACAGGCACATCGAAGCCGCCATCGAGAAGCTGAGCAAGCGGCACGATTACCACATCTGCGTGTACGACCCGCGCGGCGGCAGGGACAACTCCCGGCGCCTCACCGGCCACCATGAGACCTCCAACATCTTCGAGTTCTCGGCCGGCGTGGCCAACCGGGGCGCCAGCATCCGCATCCCGCGCCAGGTGGGCCAGGACGGCTACGGCTACTTCGAGGACCGGCGGCCGGCGGCCAACTGCGACCCCTACGCCGTCACCGAGGCCATCATGAGGACGACGGTGCTCAACGAGACCGGCGTGGAGACCAAGGACTACGCTGAGCACTGAGGCACCGGGGTGGGTGGAGGTTCTGGTGCCTACAGCAGCTTCTCCCGTGGGATTTGTGCCTGTGCGGTGTCTTCAGCTGCAAGCTCAGACTCTTCTTAGGAACCTCGCTTCTGGTCTTGTGAAACTTCGCCTTAGAAATGTGTATTTTATAGCAAGAGGGAGGGGCCCAAGCTATTTTCTCAACTACTTTGTTCTGGTTCCTGATTTTAGGTCATGAGGTTTTTTTTTAAAAAAAGCTTGGATTGAATTTTTTTTTTTCCCTGATGGACTTTACACTGTGATGTACATAGATTCCAACGTGGATGCTGCAGCTGCTGCTGTTTGCACCTGAGGAGGGTGGGTGCTTTTTTTTTTTTTCCCTCATATCTCTGTTGCAAGGAAATGATAATAAATAATTTTCCTGGCTGCGTGGCAGCTGGGTTATGCTGTAGTGAGTGCATTTTCCTGTGGCTCCTAGAGCTCCGTGGAGGTTTTAATTTGGGTGGTGCTGGTGGGTTGCAGCTACTGAGCAGCCTGGACAGGAGCAGGAGGAGCAGAGATGCTGGAGGATCCTTGAGGCAGGTGCCTGGAGCTGCCTTGCCTCATTTTCTGGACCAAAGGCCATCTCCTTCCATCGTGATCCCAAAGGCAAACAGAGCGGTGCGGGCTGAGCAAACAGCGGCCGGAGCAGCAGCTGGCGGGCGTTTACACAGGGTGTGTGCTGCTGAGTCAGCACAGCCAGCCCCGGGCACAGCCAGCTCAGCCCTCCCCTCTGGGGACACCTCTGCGTGCAGCAGGGGACCCTGGGGACTTCCCCCTACTGCCTTGGTGAGCCACAGGGTCACCTGCAGCTCCTTGAGTTGGAGTCCCTTCACAAGGTGGAGGCTGTAGATTTATTGATAGAATCACAGGAGGGTTTGGGTTGGAAGGGATCTTAAAGCCCATCCAGCTCCACTCCCTGCCACGGGCAAGGACACCTTCCACTGTGCCAGGCTGCTCCCAGCCCTGCCCAGCCTGGCCTTGGGCACTGCCAGGGATCCAGGGGCAGCCACAGCTGCTCTGGGCACCCTGTGCCAGGGCCTGCCCACCCTCACAAAGAAGGATTTCTTCCTAATATGTAACCTAAACCTCCTCTCTTTCGGTTTGAAGCCATTCACCCACACCCTATGAAATTCATGCAGTAAAACCCCCAGGCAGGGCATTTAAACCTAGATGGGATGTTAACAGAACCTCTAGTCCCAGACCCTTGGGTCCCTCTGCAGTGCAGCTGTGGGGTGATGGATACAAGCACAGGGGACATCCCCCTAATCCCAGGGACATCTCAGACAGCTCAGGCCACCTGCAGGCTGTGACCCAGCTGCAGTCACCAGCAGGGAGTCACTGTAGGTGGGAGGAAGCAGCAGCGTGGACAGAAGACATCCAGTGCAGTCATGTGGATTTTGAAACTGGATTTATCCTTGAATCTGACACAGGTGACGAGCTGGGCTGGAGGGAGGCCCCTGAGTCCCTCCTGCAGGGGCACAGTGCTGCCAGTGCACAGGGAAAAGGGCCATGGGAGATGGTCAAGCCCCAGATCACAAGCAGCCAGGAGTCCTCAGTGCCTCTGAGCTGTTTAAGAATAAATGCAACCCAGTCCCCACCCTAAAAAGGAAGGATTTTCCTTCCAGAAGTTGTTGTTTGGGATGTTTATCATTTTTCATCAAAACCACAAGCCTGTCTTGTTTTCCTCTCATTTCTATGGTATCTCTAATGGGTAGTTTGAGCACTGGGACAATGACTGATGGATACAGCTGGAAAATCAATAAAGAGCTAAATTTGGAATGGGAAGACTCCTGTTTGCTTCCCTGGCTGTACCAGTGGCTGAAGCACTTCAGCTTTCGTCATGCTGCTGTACAGACACTGTCAAATTTGGGAATCATGTGAGTTCACATTCCCAGCATGGGAATGTCTGGTTGGACACAGCTCTGTGGGACAGCCAGACATTTGTGTCTCTGGCTCTCACCCTGGCCTTCCCCTGCAACCAGCACCATCCTCTCCATGGTGGGCTAGTGAGGCTCCAGGGCTAAGCCAGGAGCTCTCCCAAAGCCACTTCTGGGGCTTTTCTCAGTCCTGTCCCCACATGCCAGGAGCCACTGTGTGCTTGGAGGGATTCATGCTGTCCTCTGCCAAAACACAGATCTTCTCACTGGTGCTTTTTTGAGGTCAGACTGGGCCAGAAAACACATGTCAGGGTTTTGGATTTTCCTAAAGCAGAAGTGATTCCCACCCACAGGGCCCATAGCACTGGGGAAACAAGGACAACAACACATTCCCACAAGAATTTTTCCAATAGTTTTGCTGTGTTTGCCACTGTTGGAGGTGGATTTTTGGGTTCAGTGAGGTGCTGGGGATGGAGCCGGCCATGGGGCTGAGCCTTGAGGCCGTGGCAGGGGTTAAGGTGTCCCCATCCCCATCCAAGGGTTGGACAATGCTGGGAGGAGACGCAGCCAACATCACCAGTGCTCTGTGCTGGACTGCAATGGTGGGAGCAGTGCTGGGATCCCAGCTGGGATCCAGCCTGGAATGGGGCTGCTGAGGCTGGGTCACTGCTAACCAGGGGACTGTCCTGGGAGCATGGGTCACTGTTATCTAGGGCTCCATGAGGGACTGTCCTGGGTGGGTGGGTCACTGCTAACCAGGGCTCTCCTGAGGGACAGTCCTGGGTGCATGCGTCACTGTTATCCAGGGGACGGTCCTGGCTGGGTGGGTCACTGTTATCCCTCAGGGCTCTCCTGAAGGACTGTCCTGGATGGATGGGTCACTGTTACCCAGGGTTCCATGAAGGTCTGTCCTGGGTGGACGGGTCACTGTTACCCAGGGCTCCATGAGGGACTGTCCTGAATGGCTGGGTCACTGCTAACCAGGGGACTGTCCTGGGTGGGTGGGTCACTGCTAACCAGGGCTCTCCTGAGGGACAGTCCTGGGTAGACGGGTCACTGTTATCCCTCAGGGCTCTACTGAGGGATTGTCCTGGGTGGGTGGGTCACTGCTAACCAGAGCTCTCCTGAGGGACAGTCCTGGATGGATGGGTCGCTGTTATCCAGGGCTCCATGAGGGACAGTCCTGGGTGGCTGGGTCACTGTTATCCAGGGCTCTCCTGAAGCAGCCTCCTGAGGTTGAGAGGTCATTGTCACCCAGAGCATTCCCCAGGAACATCCCAAGGTGGCTAGGTCAGTGTCACCAGAGCATTCCTTAGGAGTTTCCTGAGGTGAATGGGTCGTTTTCACCAGAGCATTCCCCAGAGCATCACGGCTGTCCCGGCAGTGTCACCCGGAGAATTCCCCAGGATCATCCCTGGGTGGATGGGTCCTTGTCACCAGAGCATTCCCCAGGAACATCCCTGGCTGACTGGCTTGGTGTCACCTGGAGCATTCCTCAGAGCATCCCAGGATGGATGGGTCAGCGTCACCAGAGCATTCCCCAGAGCATCTTGACTGTCCCGGTGGTGTCACCCAGAGCATTCCCCACAGCATCCCAAGGTGGCTGGGTTGGTGCCACCTGGGCCATTCCCCAGAGCATCCTGAGGTGACTGGGTCCTTGTCACCAGAATCATCCCGGTATGGATGGGTCAGTGTCACCTGGCCCATTCCCCACAGCATCGCGGCCGTCCCCGCGGTGTGGCCGCCCGGCGCGGGGGTGACAGGGACATTTGAGGGGCTGGTGCCCTCTGCAGACGCGGACAGGGATGGCAGTGAGCAGTGCCCGGTTTGTGCTGGGAAAATCCGCCCGGATCCCCGAGTCCCCGCGTCCCCCAGCACTGCCGAGGCCACCCCTGACCCATGTCCCATGTCCCCATGTCCCCACATCCACACGGCTTTAAAACCCTCCAGGGACGGTGACACCACCGCTGTCCTAGGCAGGGCTGGACAATCCTTTTGGTGAGGGAATTATCCCCAATATCCAACCTAAACCTCTCCTGTCGCGACTTGAGGCTGTTTCCTGTCATCCTTGTTATCTGGGACAGGAGCCCGACCTTCCTCTCAGGCTGTAGAAGGTGCTATATAAAACATGGATCCCTGCTTCACATATTTCTACTCTAATAAAGATATTTGATAGCCAGAAATCCAGCAGCTGCCGCAGCGCCAAGAACAGTGACTATGACCAAAAGACAATCTGATCCCAGATTGGATGTGGCTTTTGTACACCTTGCAGAACTACAATGAAATACTAGGAGGGGAAGGAAAATAAATCTGCTTAACGCACTCTAAATAATTTCTTGCTGCTGTAAAGCAAAATTCAAGTTAGTCAGATGGGAGGAGATTGCAACAAAACCTTTGCCTGCATCAAATTGTTGAAATTGTTGGCAGAATTGTTGGCAGTACTTTTAGGGAGAAAAGCACCACCAAAACATCAAGCTCCTTTGGTTTGGGCTCTGACCATGCCCACCTGCCCCCAGGACTACCCTCACCCATGGGGAAAATACAAATCTTCTATTTCCACACAGATAGTGGCAAATACAGACCCCATGGGGCTGTACCCATTCCCCATGGCAGCCCTGGGCTGCAGGAACCCAGCTGGTGCTGCTGAGGGACCCCTCAGGAAGGGATGTCCCCAGGGCTGTGACCCTGCAGGTGCATAAGAGACTCTGAGACGTGGCTCCAGTAGGTGACCAAGCTGGGACACATCCTCATACCCTCATCCAGCATCCCTGAGGTCTCTTCCTTCACCAGGCACCCCAGGAAGGTGCTGCAGAGAGGCTGCCAGGGTGGGTGAGCACTGTGGCCACCCCATGACTGGAGTAACAATGCAGGGGTTTGCACATTTCTCCCTTTTCAAGTCTCTTTTTACCACTATAAATTCCATTACTTTGAATTTAGTGAAAGCCTTCAGGATTTATTATTTTTCTCCAAGCCAGTTATAAAAAGGACAGTAGAATTACAGTTCCAGTGCTAACAATAGCATTACTCAAAGCTGCTGCCGAGAAGCAGGGAGCTCTGGATAGAATAAAGACCTAAACTAAAATGTCAATAATAACTCCTTTTTTTTTTCTCTCCCTGTCTTCCAGCCCACACAATCTGCTTGGGTCCCTCTATCTTAATGAGCATTAAAATGGTTTCAAATTAGATCTACAGAAAATTGAATTTTTTTTTCTCCTGAGAAGCTCAGTCTGGCCTTTAAAGGCCACTGATGATATTTTGGTTTTGTATAAGAGCATCTTTGATCTCCAAGGCTCTCAGCTCACACAGAGACACGGCTCATTAGCAGCAATTTGTTGCTGTTGAAATGTGAGTGGAGGGGGACAAACACCATGGAGAGAGAGCCAGGGGGAGGTTTGGCTGGGGGGTCCTTGGCCCCTGACCCCACTAACCCCGT